CAAGTAGATCTGCTGATAAGGAACCTAGCAAAATTTGTTTCAACAAATTTGGAGCAAATTTGAGCATACAACCATTTTCCAAAGCATTTCACAGAAATCTGAAAATCATTTCTTAAACTCTTTTAAAGAAATCAGTGACAAAACTGCTTTGGTGCACCCGGTGTCAGTGCACCCAGATCCGATCCAGTATACCGACGAAGCGGCCCCCCCGACGTCAACGGCCCCACCAGCCGGGCCGACCGAGACAGGGGGCGGCAATGACCGCCAGCTCGCCGACGGCGAGGTCCTCGGTGAAACGGAGAGCGCCAACGTGCTCCCCAAGACAAACCGCGTCGGATAGAGGTGAATAGGGAGGCGGTGCGGGGGGAAAAGGGTCGGCGACAGTAATGGCGGAGCGGCGGCGGAGTGGTCGTCACGCCGGTGGAGCATCTCCGGCCACGCAGATGGTGAAAGGAGGCGCCGGGAGACTCAACGTCGTCGTCAAGGTGCTTGTCTTGCGTGAAGTAAAGGTAGGAAGAGGAGCGGAAGGGGGAGTCCACGGAGCGGAGCTCACCAATGAGCTTCGGCCGTGTGCTCACGAAAGCAATTCCCAAGGACGGATGCTTACCACGGCAAAGTAGCGAGAGCACGGGTGCGCGGGTGACGGCGAGTCAGAGGGCGAGACGGAGTGGTCACCGGCGAGCCGAGGTGGTCAAGCGAAGCGAGCTCCGGCAAGGCGCGCGTCTGGCGGTGGCGGCGATAGGCGCATGGTGAGAGGAGAAGTGAGGAGCTACCGGAATGCGGTGGGCGCCGGGATTCAAGTCATGGCCAAGAAGCAGCGAGCTATCACAAGCGCGTGGACGCCAGTGTCGAGACGAAGCGTGTTGGCAAGACGTGAACCTCCTGAGAAAATCGATTGTCTCTCTTCTTTCTCATTCTCCCGGTGATTGGCTATATATTCATCTTGTGATTGGTTCATCCCCTACACGTCGGTATAATCACTCTACTCACTCATTTACATTCTTGCAAACTAGTTGATACAAGCTCTTTAATGTAATTAGAATTGAGAGCTTGCTTTATTATTTACATTCATCTAGTTGAGCTCTTTAGAGTAGCAATGTTGAGAGCTCTTAGTGAGTAATTACATAGCTAGTTTGTGTGCCTAAGTATTCATTGCAACTAGAATTGTTGGATAGGTGGCTTGCAACCCTTGTAGAGCTAGAGCAAGTTTGTATTACGCTATTTGTCATACTAATCAAATTGCTTTAGTTGATTTGTAGATTTTTAAATAGGCTATTCACCCCCCCTCTAGCTATATTAGGACCTTTCAAGGTGGCTGCTCCCCACGCACTCTGACTCGTGGGCACGCAAACTCAGCACGCACCCATCTAGCGCTGCGCCACTGCCTATCTCTGTCATGCGGGCTAGCTCCAATAGTCGGACGTGCACGCAACGGGCGGTCAGTGCCCAAATGGTCGAGCACTCTCTGGTCAAAGTGCATGCGCGCATGCAGAGCGCCAGAGCAGGGCAGCAGCCAACAGACGCAGAACCAGGCGCCCCCACACGACAAGGTTTGGTCCCCACGGTGGAGCATGCTCTCCCGTGCAGGCGTAGCAGCAGCAACCATGCGCGGGGAGCAAAGCACGCGGGCAGGCGCAGCAGCACACGACGCGCGGGTGTCCGGACATGAGGACATGGCCCTTAGACTGACTCCAACTGCGTGAACCCAAATCTGAGACCCATTTCACAATTTAGGTAACGCACAGTAAAAGAGTTACATACCCATAACTTGACCTCTCCAACAGAGGCCCCGAGCGGCAAGCCCCAAATCCCGCCGGCCGCAGATCCCGCGCCTCCCTGCATGCGCCGTCGCCCGCCCGCCTCCTTCCCCACCGAGTGTCAAGCCTCTCCGGCGAGCTCTTGACCCGCGACCGGCGAGATCCAGGCGCGCGCGGCGGTGGCCCCCCGGATCCAAGCAACGGCGGTTCCCCAAGCTCGCGAGTGGCGGCGGCTCCCCCGAGCTCGTGCCCGGCGGCGGACCCCCGGCGCTCTCTCCTTCGTCAACTCCTCCCGCAGCGGCCCGCCTCCTCCACTCCACTCCCCGAATCCGGGCGCTCCTCGCCTCGAGCCCGCCTCGCCCTGCCCCGATGGCTCCTACGGGCCCACCACTACATGTTTGCGTCGTCTCTCTTCGAAGACGCAGAATTGCCTTCCGACTCGCCGAGTACCCAGAATGGGTATCTGGTTCCGGTCTTCCGTTGGAGGGTGGTTTTGGATACCCAAAACACTGTGCATGACGCATTTTGCGTTTAGGTTATGCCGTTGGAGACAGTCTTAGTTGGCGCACAACCCATTCTAGTATTTCTGGATGTGATTTTTCGCATCTCCGCGGCATCACTTACACGTAGAAATGGAAAATTAAAGAAAGAATTTGACTGGCAGCGAGGCTAGCTCTCTCTAAACAACCGTAGACAAAAAGTAAGCAAGAAGCAATGGCACTGTTTATTTGCATGGATGCGTACTAATTATATTTTTTTCTTCCAAGAACCGATCGGCACCCGTGTAGCACATGCTAATATATAATAACAGTCGCAATCTCGAGTCATGCCAAGCTATGGTGAAAAATACTAGGGCCGTAGACTTGACGTCAACGCCGCGCCAAACCTTAGAAGCAGTATATGAAACAGAAGAGATCCAACTTTAGGTGTGCCATTAGTCAATCTATTTCAAATGTATCTAGTTTGTAAGAGTTGAAAAAAGAATTAGCATTTACAACTTCAATTAGTTATATTATGATTATGATATTATATTTTATGCTGAGATTAATGGTATATGTTTGATATATATAATAAATATTTGTAGTTGTATGTATAAAATTCATTCAAACTCAAGATAGTTTAACTTAAAATGACGCTCGAATTATATCTAGGGCGGAGGTAACAGAGTATTCGGATATGGCATATATTGGCTCATCGGTAGACCTTGATTGTTTGAACCCAAAAAAAAAATCTATCGAAGAGCGATGGATGGATCTTAACATTGCAGGGGCAAATAAACCGTAGTTGCTCTCAAAAAAAAAACATGACAGCATCACTAAGAATATGATGCTCATGGATGCAAATGCTTACGACAACGTGATTACCATATATACTCCTAAGTACGTGCTTTGGCAACACTCAATAGTATAGCAGGTTTCTGAAGGTGATTATGAGAATGAGATGCCTGAAGTAGCACGGACGCGCTGAGAGGCTGAGACACTCAGCAAGTCAGCAGCAGCAGCTGGTCAGTCTCCCAGCAGTAGCCGTCGTGGGTCGCGGCACCATCTGTTTCCTAGCATTTTCCGCGCAAAACGCCAGGGTGTTCAGCGCTACGCGCCGCATGGCATGACCCAGCCGGCAGCCGCGGAAATGGATACCAGACTGGCCAACAGGACTCCAGAACAGGAGCGAGGTAAGGTAGGTAGCTGCTCCGTTCTTTTGTGACGTTGGTTTTGTCGTGAGAGAAAAATACTTATATTATGGTTGGTAAGCATGACTGATATGATCAAGCGAACAGGGTGAAGAAGCGTACGATCCCAGCAGCATATGAGCACGAGTGGGGCCCTATTTCATTCAAAGAAGTCTACAAGAAGGTCACGCTAGCTATAACTAGTCAACGCCTCGTCAACCGGTTGCCGGAGACGACCAGAGGGGCCTACACGGTTTTGCCGAGAGCATATTCCAGGGAACAATAAACAATGGTCAACAGAGAGGCCATAGTCACAGCGTGACACACGACAACGGCCTCGCTTGTCTTGGCACCCGACCTTACGGCATCCCTACGCAGGCACGACCCCAACGTGGATCCACCGCCGGCGGTCCGGCACGACACACGCGGCCACTGGCTTCTGCTTAATTTGGTCCTGCAGCGTGAAGGTGCCGCCAGGGCGTCTAGTTCGGATTATTTCTGATTCAAAGCTTAATGCTTTATTAATTAATCAGTTCACACCTCGCGCTTTGATATGATATCCCACGAGAATTACCACGGTTGGATAGAGGTGGGTGAACATTACTGCTACGTTGGGTTTGTCTGTCTGTTGTTGTTCTTGCTGTGAGACCTTTGATTATGACTGTCAACATTCATATTCCTTGCCTTCCATGACAGTTGACAGGGGAAAAAAAAACAGGAGAGTGAAATTGCATGCTTTCATTACAAGCGTTAAGCAACAGTTAGCTTCAGAACAAATTGATAGTGCCGTTCCTTGGCCTCTCTGCATATATATAGTACAGACAGGTAGTGTAGACAAAGTAAAAGAAAACGTAATCTTCAACTTCTAAATGAACAGCATACTGCTAGCACAGCTAATCAAACGTGGCCAATGTAATAGTAACACAAAACAAAAATAGAGTAACAAAGAAGCCTACTGCTTTGTAATACATGGCCTGATTCGCACACATCCTTCTAGCCAAGCTTTCTGATCGATTGATTAGCTTACTGTGCGGTTGTCTTTCCGGCGAAGATGACTGCCCAAGTAACAACTATGAACACAGATATTGTGTCATATACCTTGTCAAAATAGAGGAAATATGCAATCCTCCATGTTTTCTTGAAAAGCAGGATGCAAAACACCACCCAGAGACCAACAATAGATCCTGACCCGAGCCCAAGGTAGAAGAACACTGGCTCTGGTATATGTGCGGTTCTGTTGTGACTGCCATAGCCGTGACCTTTCACAGTACTCCTCGAGCAATTTCTTTTTTTTGAAGGAGGCCCACAAAGACCATTGTTGCCACTATTACATATCTGAATGTTGTAGGTAGAGGCTGTCATGTTGTGATCCTGAGGGTATTCTTCCCGATAGATTGTTGTGTGACAGGTTCAAGTAGCTCAGATATGATATGTTCGACAGGCTAGGCGGTATCTCTCCCGAGAACCTGTTACTTGAGAGGTCCAGCCTCCAGCGATTCCAACGATTGCATGAACCCAATCTCATGTGGAATTCTCCCATTCAATTCCTTGACAAATTTAGATTCTTTAAAAGTTTAAGTCATTTCCTCTGGAATTCCACCAGTTAAGTAGTTCGATGACAGGTCAATGTTCACCATGCTGGAAAGTGCAAAATAATAATAAAGTTCTTGGCCCTTTGTGGTCACAGGTAACAAACTTAGGGATCCATCAAAGTACCAATCTTGATCGCCAGAGTCATCGTTCTCACCATTTCCTGCCATCGCAGTCAAATTTGACAAATGACAAGGTATAGCTCCTGATAAACCATTGCCTGCGAGATTCAAATTGTAAAGTTTTCCGAGGTTGGTAATGCTGAATGGAATGTTCCCATAGAACAAATTATTGCTTAGCCTTAGATATCGCAATTCCATCAAGTCCCCAATCCAGATAGGCAATCTCCCAGTGAAGTTATTCCCTGATAGATCTAGGAGCCCCAGCTGTGTGCAGCCTAGCAGAAAAGATGGGAACGTGCCAGAGAGACTGTTGGAGGGTGAGTGGGTGACTAAGTTGATAAATCGGCTCATCCCAGTTGATAGGGTTCCGTTGATAAAGTTACCTGCCAGGTTGAGTTGCTGTATTTTCTTGTGTGATGAACAATTCTACTGCAAGCTCTCAAGGAACTCTGTCATGTTCCCAGACGCAAGGGATAGCTCTAGGTTCAGGATTTCTAAACTGCACAGGTTTCTCAGCAAGTACGGCGGCACCGTGACGGAATTTCTAAACCCTGAAAAATCTAGGACTTGGAGGGATGTCATGGCCGCTAGAACATCAGGGATTCGACCGGATAAAATAACACTAACGCTCAGGTACTTGAGGCTTGTCGTCAAACCCCAAAACCAACAAGATGCCACCGTATGATTAAACAAGTTGAGAGAGAGATGGAGCCTCTCAAGTTTGGTGAGGTTAAGGTGCGGGAGCGACTGGTTTGCACTTGCAAAGCTGGCTCCGAGAAAGGCCAAGGACCCTGAGTGAAGGGAGCATGTTCACGGCATGAGCCCAGTGATATGCTGTGCTGAGGTTTACGGACCCCAAGTCAAGGTACCGTAACCGCGGTAGATGTGCTATCCATGATACATCCGAGGAGTGCATGCCAGTGTTGGAGAGGTTGAGATACTGAAGGTTGGAAAGATTACCGAGCTGAGGAGGCACCATAATACCGTCGAGCGCATTCCAGCTGAGATCGAGATGCTCCAGGTGTCGCAGAGAGAACAGAGGAGCTGGTACCTGGCCTTCAAGAAATGCTCCACCCGAGCACTGGAATATTGGGTCATCGTAGGAGGCCGAGCCAGTACCAAGGATGCCATCATCATCAGAATCGCCCAAATCGCAGGGGGGCAGTCGGGGCTCCGAGATAGAGCCCGACCACATGGCCGGTGACGTTGCTGCACCGGACCCCTCCCCAGCGGCAGCAGTCATGGTCTTGTTCCCGCCACGACGCCAGCCGGCCTGCGGGATCGCCTGTGATGGATCGCTTGAACGCCAGCAGCGCGTCCCTCTCGCTCGGTATGCAGCTCGCGGCAGCGAGGCTGTTGTTTGTCTGGTTGGGTCGGTGGTGCGGTGCACTTGCACGGGCGACGAGGAAGAAGCTGCAGCCGGCGGCGGAGGCGATAAGCAGCAGCAGCAGCAGCATCAACTCCCTATTTGGCTATTTCAGCAACGAGCCAGCCCGTAGTATATGAGCATGCCATGGCCTTTTCTTTTCTGCTTGGAAAGTGGGAGTCCTCCACTAATAATAACAGTATACAAGCGTCAAAGCCATCGATCGACGATGGCATGGCTAGTGGATCAGCCACAATTGCAGTTTGTGCACTGCTGCCAATTGTGCCCTCCGTGTCCGTTAGACGTCTTGGAACTGAAACCTATCTCCAAAGCAGCAAGTAGAACTACCGATCAACTATCAAGTTCATAACGTCCCCATCTTCTGGCTTCTATTGACTATGCGTGAATACGCGATGCCTTCGTTCTGACTTGACCTGAGGGAATAGTGCCATCTCACGACTAACGAGCATCTTTCAAGATGTCAAACCACGATACTGAAGATGGCTGAACGCCACCGAGTATGACTGTATGAGAGGCGGAAGGGGAGTCAAGGAAGCCTAACATAGCGGGTTAGACTCCGGGTTGCTGCCTGCTCGGCGTCCCCCTCATCAAAATCGAAAGTAATCACTAGCCAATCGTGAGCTTGCACATAGTTGCATATTTTGGGTCGCTTTGCCGTATAGTTTTCCTAACCAACGCTGCCTAGTTAATGACACACTTAACTTTCTGGCCTTCATTGGCCAAGACATGCCTTCAGCCTCTGGACTTCACCTAAGAGGGAGGAGTTCATCTCACAGGCATCCTTCAAGATTTCGAATCGCCATTCAAGCTCATTGCCACTGCTATTGGAATCCTGTGTGATGCCTTGCAGAACGAAGCTCTTCAGCATAGCCTGTGGTACAGAATTCAACAGATACTCAGGGCAGGTCAAGCTTATACGTGGAAGGAATTGCAGAGTCCCAAGCACTCAAAGAAACATGAGCGAGCAATTACCTCATGATGCCGCTTCTGTGCATAGCACCGGATAAGCGATTTGACCAGCTTGTTTCGCAGCGTTTTGCCAGAATCGCTGGACTGGAAGACAAAGCCTGAAAGGTGATGCTTTGCCAATGCGAAGGCCATGGAATCACGCTGTAAAGCTTTGTCAAGGACACCAGACGTCCATGATTTAGCATAAGATTCCAAAAAATTTTCATCATCCTGCAGAAGTATTGTAAAAAACTGAAACAGTGAGACTATGTTCTTTGAACATGGAGGCAGCCAACTACAGAAGTTAATCATACTAAGTGATGGTATGGAAATCATACATATAAAAACCAAAATAAATGTCAGCAAAATAGTATAAATCTTGCACTGTCTACTGCATATTGTAGGCTGTGCAATAGACAAAGACAAACAGAGTACAAAGGTCAAGTTCCAAAATAAATCATTCACATAGTTACTCACTTACTCCATGAAAAAGGTTCTCTGGAACAGAAATGCAAAATAAATTGAAGAAAATGTACCTCAAGAGGCTCCAAGTATCCTTGGGCGTTGCCAATGCATTTGTCTAGCGGGGGTAACAGGTCAAGCACATACGCATTAGACAGTGCATTCCATGCTGCAAGCCGTACTGCTGGCTCAACCTTTCTATGCAGATAAATGGCCACTTGCCGACCAAAAACAAAATCTCCATATGAGACAGCTGCAAATTGATCAACTAGGCTCTCAACAAAAGTAGTGTAGCTTCCATGAATTTTCTCCTGGAACCTGAGAACTTCGAGGCTACTGATCTCCATTGCTTCCTCTGAAGTGGCCACTGCAACACCCTTAACTTCCTCAACAGAGTTAGATTTACAGAATTTCTGGCATAACCTGTTCAGATGCTGGCCATACAATTCCTGTAAAGCACAGAAAATATCCCTACTTCTGTCTTCTTGTAGCAAACGCATGCTAGAGCGGATAGAGACCGAAAGTGCATGAATTTTCCAGATCAAAGGAGCATGGAGGCACAGGGTAGCTGAAATGGCCTCCAGACCTAAAAGGAAGATAAGACCAGCCCTTGAGACATCAAGAATATAGTTGGCTGATGTTGAGAGCGTGCCTTTTGGATCATCAATGCAGCAAACTGCGCTTAGAATCCACTGGACAGAAAGAGGCAGTCTCTGATGCGCCCACTCTACCACTAATGTGTTGCAAGGTTGATTTACAGCTTCTGTCAATTCTGTTTCTTCCTGAATTGTCTCCAATGTCTCTGGTGTTTTTGAAATCTTAGTGCTGCTATTATTTCCTGCGTATTTATCTGAATGCTTCTTCTTGACAGCTAACCATCTGGATCTGAAATGTGAATTGAGAACACTGCTGAAGAGCAGATATTCATCTTCATTTATGTCCCATTCAAAAGGTTTCAGTAATTCCATGTCAGAGGCAAATTTGTGTATAGATGATTTGAGATACTTCAGAATGGAAGGTTCAAAAATCATATCAAAAGCTTTCTCCAACATATAGATTTGTCCAGGTCCGGCAATCAAAGACAACCCTAGGGAAGAACTGATCCAATTTGAAGCTGTCACAACTGTGTTAGTCACATTATCTGACTTCACACCTTCATCGAGGATGACAGGACTTCCTTGAACTGAAGAGAAACATTTGATCAATTCTACAACCAATTGCGAATCCAATTGTGCAAGTAGGCATTTAAGAGACCAAAACCCTCCACCACATGCCCCCCAGCCAAACCCAACACCAGGAGCTGGCCCTCCCCTACCAAACATCTCTATGTTCTGTGATATGGACCATTGTGATGAAATCATTGGCAACAGCGAAGTCAGCAAGTGTAGCAAATCATTATGCCATAAACTGGAGATACCTTCTCCTAGTAGCTTGCCAGCTACACCTGTTCCAGACTCATTGAAACACTCAGAACAACTTTTTTTGGCTCCCTGGATCACTCTGTCAACAGACCAAGATAGCTGCACTAATCTTTGAAGGCAGCTTATGGAAGACAATGATACATCAACATTACCATGGCATCTCATAAAACATAGTCCCTGCACCAAAGACGCCAAGAACAAAAGACTGATGCTCTGCATTTCTAACAGCAACAGTGTCCGAGCAGCTGAAAAATCCATTACTAATTATGCCCAGGCCAATTTTGGGGACAAAATCAGGTATCCAGGGCAAGCTGTAACTTTTATCCTCAGGAGTGACATCTGGTGATATTCTTTCCAAAATTGAATTAAGCATGCCTAACACAGAAGCAATCACCAAAATCAAATAGCTTGCCTCTACCATGTGCTCTGTATTCCTATTCTGCCCGCTGATTAGTGAACTTACATAGGGAATATCATTAAGATGTAACCAAGATAACGCTAAGTCTACCATCGGGACAACATGGCTCCAAGAACATGTCTCAATATAACTGGCAGAAACTCCCAGATCTTGATTGGCAAGCTGCTCCACTGAATGAAGGAGCGGTAACCTTTGTGCCAGAGCTGCTAAGACAAGATATGACTCTCTAGCAACAGAACTAAACTCAACAAGAACATTGTGTTCACTTAGTTTCTCAAACTCAGGAGGACTGAGCCACAGACACAAAACAGGAAAGAAATCAGCAAAATGAGCTATACAAAACCCATAAGAGATGCAGGTTCTCCAAAACCGCAGCTGCTCAACCATCATTGCTGAACTAAGCTTGCATTTTTCCTTTCCAGATCTTACCCAGTCCTCAATAGTACCAGCTTTTCTGTACCAGTGCCACAATGCCTGCTGAAAAACTCCATGGTTCACAAAATTCAAGCAAGTTTGCCTGTTGTATTTGGACAAAACCTGATCAAAACAGAATATGTGGCTTTAGATGCTGAAAAGAAGTCCTGTTTGGCAGAAAAACAAGGAAGCCGCAAGACGCTTTCTAGAATATGAGTCGATTGCAGTAGCTTTCAAGATGCTGTATTTTCAAAGTATAATATTACTGGAACATAGAAGTGAATATGTACGCTATAAAATATCAAAACACATAAATTAATATGTGTGGGTACATAAAATGTGGAGGGCAGTGTGATTGAGGGAGACAAGGAACGAGCATCATGAACTAGAAAGGAACCAATTCATGAAACATCTATACCATATGGCAATCGATGTGAACTATTAATGCACTTGCATACAAAGAAAATCATTTGAGCTCAACTAATAATTCAGACGAGTGCCACACATTACTGGGAATATTATAACACATCTCCACTCCCGGTCAGTAAAGTATGCAAGGATGACCAAGAGAAGCACCTGTCTAATAATAATCTGCGCCTACAGGAATTATTCAGCATCAAGCCATCAACATGCGTGCAACATGTCAATCGATGATGCCAACTATCTATCACGATAACTCTATAACACAGGGGTGTCAAAAGAACCAAAAAATTACCTTCAAGAGAGTAACCCCTTTGATTTGTGAGGAGCGAATTTCCATTGATCCTTGATTTATCAACAGCTTAGTAACACTTTGAATAAGTCTTGGGCAATTCAAGATTGCATCAGCAGAATGTGGAGAGTGCCTGGCTAGTGCTACAAGAACCGATACGAGATAATCTTCTAAAGCAGGAGATGGGTCTATCTGAATCAATGGAAAAGAAAAGGTTCAGTTTAACACACTTAATGATTACAATCACTTTTTGAAATAAAAGAACAAAACTATTAGCAAAAAAAAAAAGAGTCAACTAGGCATTAGCTGATACAGGGCTCACTAAAAATGTACAAGTGCAATGCACATGCACTATACCTGGTGGAACAAATATCATGACCGAGTTCAAAGGAACAGCACAGAAGCCAGGGGATACATTCAAAATTATAGGCAGATGTTGGATAAAAGATATGATAAATTAATAGGCACGTACAATTAAAATTTTATGGCAATTATTAAGAAAAAATGTCAGGAACTCCAAGCATAAATTAAGAGGAATAGAAATGTCCTAGATACTAGCCCCACAGGATGAGGCAAGCAACAACACAAAAGCTCTACTTGAGTGAGTAATTGATAGTGAGTCATAATTATAGGTCACCTAGCACCACAATATGTTCCAAGGAATCCCAATTTCCAAGGTTAGTGCTAAAAATTCAGAAGCTGATCATAATTATCTTATTACACTTTCACTAGCAACAGATATTGACATGGTGTGACCAAAGCAAATGATATTTGCTGGTGAGGACCAGGTGGTCCAATAGCAGCATTGGACATGATAAATCAATCGAACTTTCAAACAGCCTCTGATATCATTCAATAAACCTGAATTGATCCTTACTTGTCAGTGCCACGTTGGTGGGGTGGTATTTTCAAAGAAACGACAACAAATCAAATAAGAATAAAAGGACAAAAACTGACCTCCAACAGAAAACAGATTCGTGGAAGTATCCCCATCCTAACAAAACCAGCAGCAACATCTTGGCCAGACACAACAACATCATCCTGAATTGTATGCTTGTCATCAGCTTCGTCCTCATCATTGTCACCATAATGTGGGAGTATATTTGATGGTTTTGTGTTGTATTTCCAAAACCCACCTTCAAGAAAGCCTCCATCTAGGTCAGGTTTGCTACGAAATACAGGAGCTGTGCAGATATCTTTTCCATTACCTACTTTCTGCAAGTATAACAATGACAAAATGAGGCTCAAACTAGCAACAAAAAATAGAGAACCTCCCAAAAAAGACAAAGTTACCTCTGAAAATTCAAAATAGGATTCATTGAACTCACAGCTCAGCATGACATTAACTACTTTAGCACAACTCAGAACTACAGAATCATGGTTATCATCCAAAGCCATCCTGCAAATGCTTCAGTTAGTAACAGAAAGTGCAAAGTAGAAAATAGGAAAGAAAAGAAACTGGCATCACTAGGTCCCAAATCCAAATAGTTAGCTTTGGGTCAAACAAAAAGAATGCAACCATGTATTTCAGATAACAAGGTGGATGCACACGCAAACACCGACACGAATGCCACCTTTAAAATACAAAGCTAAGGGACAACACAAATATGAGAGGTCCACGATTGTTTTTACATGTTTACTACTGATCAAACTATTCAAATATTCCATTTATGGTTCTCTTCATTTATACACATCGTAAATCTGAATGCATAATATTACTCCGTGCATGTAACAAGGAAGCACTGAATCCAATAAATAAGGAATAACGTTTAGATCACAAGGTCACATAGCACAAACACTCAGTAGATAGCATGCCAGTGCCAGCAATAGATAGGGGTAAAGAGTAGAAGCCATGCAATAGCTCCACTCTTTTCCTCAGAAGATAAAATTGTGAAGCTAACTCCCAAGAAAATGGGTCTTCATTGATAACAAAGGGGGTATTTAAGAAAGGTATTTTTACCTTAGGGAGAGTACCAACTCTGGTTCAGGCCCAAGGGCATAGGACCAAATTGCTTGCCAGTCATCGAATTCTTCATTAGAATTCATTCCTTTAACATTATCCATTAGATCAATCTTATGAAGGTTCTGCAATGCCCTATTCAGAATAGAAGCAAGAAGTTGAAATGCAAGCACACGCTGCCCCGGAACCTACAATTTGAGGAAGCTGAATTATATCACATGTCTTGATGTTGCAACTTTTAAAAATTAAAAAATATATTTTAACAAATGATGTAAAAAATGCATTCTTTGAAACCTGAAGTAATGACAGTTACTACTTAGTATTTACTACGCTCGCCATGGCACTCCTATGTTGACACAGACGTATAAAATAGACTATAACATTGAACTTGACAGATAACCAGTTCAATAGCTGATGCTCTACACAAACCAAATTTGTGAAAAAAACTCATTACCTCACCTAACAACTTGACAGAAATCACTCCCTCCTTTCTCAGTGTTCATTATAAACACACACTAGGAAGTCACTCCCTCTATCTTCAATGTTTATCACAGACACTAGGAAATCACTCCCTCTCTCTCACCATTTTATCATATATACAGCAAATCCATCCATCCATCCATCCTCCCTCCTCCCTCCCTCCCTCCCTCTCTCTCTCACCATTTTTTCATATATATAGCTCATACACCTGCCCATGATATCCTCCTAATTACTGCAGTCATAACTCCTATGATTGTCTATTATTCTCCTTGACTACTATCTGAAAATCTGCTAGACACAATGAACCTGGACACATGCATGGACACACAGGCTAACACACCTTTAGACGTCATACTGCGACATAAGCATGGCATATGCATGATACAAATTAAGAACTAAAGGCCTTTTTTCACCTTAACAACGTATATTCCTTGGGATCCACAAATCGAGAAATGAAAAAAATAACCAATCCTTGAAAAAAATATAAGTAAAATATGTACCCCATAAAATAGTGCATAATACAAAGGCCACAAGAACTCAAGAAGTAATACATATTTTATTCCATGCTGGAAATCCTGAGCCTATTTCACATCACTAGGATAGAGCGTGGAAATTATCGTAACAATCACACTTTTAATTTTCTTATTGAGAAGACATTTTTGGAATAACCCTTCCCAAGTAAATGGTTGGATGCAGTGGAGAAAGTCAAGAAAGATTTGAACTCGCTAATTGTCCAAAGTGCTTGGATGATGTGGAAACATCATAATGACTGTGTCTGTGTGTTTAATGGAGCCAATCTCAGCATTTAGCTTGTGATTAGAAATATCCTTGAGGCCCATCTTTGGTGCCTTGCTGGCACTAAGGGGTTATCACATCTGGAGGTAGTCGCCAAGTAGTTGGCTTGATAGTGTTCAGGTCGGCTCATGTTTTTGATGTAACTGAAGCGATTCTAACTAAGAGTGACTGGTGTGTGGGTGTGGCGTGTGTTGTGTGCGCATTGTATTCTGGGCTTTCTTCTTAATGCAATGATAGGCAGCTCTCCTTCATATTCGACAGGAAAAAACCCTCCAAGTAAATGGACAAATAATATTAGAAACAGAGGGTGTATAAAAAACAAACCATGCTCCTGGTAAGTGCCACTGCCTCCTTGATTGTGTACCCAACAGCTGCAGGATCTCCTTCAGTTCTAAGGAAATCACGCTCAGCAACACTTTCTGAATGCATCTTCTTGCCTGAAAGTGGGAGATATAGGTTGTCATCTAAAGGATACCACATCAAGTCACCAACAGAAGCAAATGTAGCTCAGATGAGCAAAACCATGTGATATACCATCTTGTTGCTCGTGAGAAAATTGGAACCCCAATATGTCTCCATCTAATGTGAACCTACAAGACCTGATCCGCTCCACTCTCTCACTCCACACCTTCCAAGAGTGCCCACTATGTTCACCAGCAGTCAACCAATCCCCTGGTGTAGCCCTTTTGGTCTTCTGCGGTCCTGAGTTTTCCAGACCCTTGTCCTTACCCACATCCTTCGTGCCTCCAGATTTCTCCCTTCCCCGCCGCCTCAGCATCTCCACCAATGCAGGGTTCAGCTTATTTACAATATCTGCTTGGGCCTCTGCAATCTCCCCTGCAGACATCCCAGCCAACCTAGCCATGTTCTCTGCACTGATCTCTGCTTCCATCGATGACTCCCTGCCGTCCAGGTCCATACTCTCTGCTTGTGATGTCGAATTCCTAACCTCACCTGCCTTCACCAATTCATCTCTCGATTCAGCCTGACTCATTGGCTTCTTGGACACCACATCAGAAACCGAAAGCACAGCACCTGGTCCTTCCCTAGCATTCCCACTGTCAAGCCGCATAGCACCTCCCTCCAATTCTCCACTGTCAAGCCGCATAGCACCTCCCTCCAATGCTCTCCCCGTAGCTGCCACACCACCAACCTTAGAAGCCACAGCCCCAGCATCAATTCTCTGATCACTCTGTTTCTTGGCCTGCACTGGCTTCCCCTGCCTCCGCTTGGGGGGAGCATCGCCAACAAACTCACGCCACTGGCTAAAATCCATGCCCTTCTTCTCCTTCCTTGGCACAGGACCAGCTGCATCAGCCGCCACAGAATGGTAGTCTGTCTCGTCCATGTCCATCTCGTCGTCGTCGTCCGCAGCCCCATTCTTGGAGGCGTCCTTCGCCGCGGGACCCCAGTGCTGCGAAACGGGAAGAAGTAGTTGGTCAGCGGGGAGTATACAATCAAAAAGCAACGAAGCAAATCGAGGTTAGGGGGTTAGGGGCCTAGGGTTTGGGAGGACGGCGGCGGCTTACGGGGCCGTGGGAGCGGTGGCGGGCGACGGGGAAGGGAGGACGGAGGGCGGGGCGCGAGGAGGGCGCGGCGGCAGCGAAGCCCTTCTCGACGATGGCGCCGACGAGGCGGGACGGGGACGCGCCGCCGCGGCAGGTGTAGGGGTGCGGGGTGGAAGGGCTCCTCCACGACCTTACGGCGTGTAGGGTGCGCGCCGCCGGGCTGGTTCCGCCGCTTCGTCGGTGCGTCCATCGGGGAAGAGAGGGGATGGGACGAGAGCGGAGCGCGGCGTGGCGGTGTGCAGCGAGAGGGGTTCAAGGGGCTCTGCCGCTCCAAAGTTCAAGCGGCTGGTGAGGGCGGAGATGCGACGCTCGGGGCTACATATTTCAGGTTCGGGTTACGGGTAGCGGGTATTTTGCTCAGGTCGCAAAGCAAGCTGAGGTCAAATGACAAATATCTGTGTTACAACCGTCTATGGTTGTGTTGCCGAGCTTCTCATCTTCAGCATTAGCAAGGTCTCCACTATGAAAAAGGTGCTGTTATTCTATAACAGAAAAAAGCTATTGTGACCTATATTTATGCTGAAAAATTGTAATATGAACCTTTAGCATTAAAAATTAGCAGCTAAAATTAGTAATAGTGAATCCAAATGATCTCGCTAATAAATATGCTAATTATTAGCTAGAGGACTGCTAACTATTAATTTTATTAGCAGGTTTGGTGTTGTTAATAGGTGTTGATAGTTCATATACACATTTGACCCAATATCCAACCACCAATTAGTAGTAGGTGAATCCAAACAGCCTCCTACTAAAAATTAACAGGTATTAGATATTAGTCAGCTAATTTTTAGTACTAATGGATGCAAATAGATCCTAAAACAACTACAAAATTTATGCTCCCTTTGTCGATCTTAAAACGCTTGTAAGATGTACTCCCTACGTTCTAAATTATAAGTTATTCTAAGAATCTTGACAGTCAAAGGATCTCAAGTTTAACCAAATTTATATTATAAAATAATAATATTTATGGCACCAACTAAGTATCATTAGAGTCTTCATTAATTATTTCATAGTATACATATTTGATGTTATAAAACTTTTTAATTTTTTCTATAATTTTGGTCAAACTTGAGATGGTTTGACTATCAAGATTCTTGTAATGACTTATAATTTGGAATGGAGTGAGTATGTTTATTTCACTCATTTGAAAAGACAAAAGGCCAAGAGTTGCGAAAATTATACTGCATAAAAATAGTTGTTTCTGTAAAAAACAGTTTCTAGTTTTGCCTGATGGTTGGTATTTGCTTTTTTAGCAGCAGAAGCAATTTCGAGAAGTTAAAGCAAATATAGCCATAGAATTTGAAGGCCTTTCTTTTTTTCGACTCTCAAATTTCTACTCAAACTCCAGCACAGCAACAGACTCAATTTTAAGCCTATACCTTTTTATGACAACTGGATCCTCATGTCACTAGTTGTGTGTTCTTTTTGCCTTTTCTCCCATCTATGTACGAGGATGGGCTCAAAAAGGAGACTCAGCGAGGACAGGCTTGGCAAGGAGGGGCGCCCATGGCAGGGAGCCAGTCGATGTGGATAGGCAGGTCAGTGGGGAGGGGCACTTGTGTCGAGAGAGAGCCCACAAGAATAAAAGTTGGAGGGGGTGATTTGAGGTCTTCCTATTTTAGGGGCTTTGGCCGAGGGGGTGATTTAAGGTCTTCCTATTTTAGGGGCTTTAACCCAACTAGGCAACTGGCATAGTTATTAGGACTGAACCGGTGATTATCTCTTACGACTAAAAAGACTAAAAGTAAGACTATTTTTTGGTGCGATTTTTTTTCTGGGGCCGCTCCTCTCTTCCGGCCATGCGATACCCCACGCGATAGAAAAAGAAACTGCCGTCCCTACGATCCCTGCCTGCTTTGAAGGAAACAAATCGATTACCTGAGGCCACATGTATGGAAGAAAACAATAATCATGCATGGAAGGAAATAATTGGCAAAGATCAAAGCAAGACTCCTCCCTTCCGGCCATGCGATACCCCACGCGATAGAAAAAGAAATTGTCATCCATGCGATCCCCGCCTGCTTTGAAGAAAACAAATCGATCACCTGAGGCCACATGCATGGAAGGAAATAATAATCATGCATGGAAGGAAACAATTGGGAAAGATTAAGCAAGACGACTCAATGAAGTTGGCCTTAATTTTAGTGTTTCTAGCATGCGACACACAAATTAAAAAGTGGTCACTGCTCCTTGAGAACATCAGTGGTACCAAATAAAAGATGTGCAGGTTATACACGGTGAGACTGGTGAATCTTCTGCAATTTCCTAAACGAATATTTCCACCATTTGTATATAGGTCCATTCCTCTACGTTTCTTCGTACTCCAATTAGCATATAATATGAAAGCATTGTTGTGTTCATCACGACTTTTAGTTGACTACTTTCATTAGCATATACTTCCTCTGACCCAAAATATAAGTCGTTATGGATGTGTGCAAGTCAAACTTTCTCAAATTTGACTAGGTTTGTAAAAAACACGTGCAACATTTAACAATCAATTGATCGACTCCTGAGGCCACATGCATGTAAAAAATACCTGTATTATAATTGGTCGAAGTTAAAAAAAATTGGTTTCTCGAAAAGCGAGAATGAATTCTATTTTGGGACAGAGCGAGTATATAAAAGCAGTGTTAAAAATATTTTAACAATCAAGTTCGTCTCTGTCTGATTGGTAAGCTTAGACATCATAATGGCCCCGTTCGGATGGTATGGTTCTGGAAAAATTTGGATGGTTTGGAGAAATTCTGAAGGAATCTGTGAGAGAAAAATTTGGATGGTTTGGAGAAATTCTGAAGGAAAACGGATCAAGCCGGATTTAAGGGCACGCGAACGGAGCCAGTGGTATAAAAAATTTCGACTCTCGTGGACACCCTCATGGATCATTGCAAAGCATCCCAATCCTACAGTATACACAAATGACAACCTTAAAGACCATCTTAGACGTTCTAGCAATAGAGTATATACGTGCAAACACATAGGCATGGTGGTGCAAGTGAAGCAACCAAAGAGCCGAGAATTAGGGTGTATTTGGATCACAGGACTAAACTTTAGTCCCTGTCACATTGAATTTTTAAATATCAATTATGAGAACTAAACATGAGCTAATTATAAAACTAATTACATAAGTTGTGGCTAATTCGCTTGCCAGCGGCGTATACAGGATGGTATGGAGACGTGGTGGAACTTATTCGTGGATTTGTTGGCGCACGAAAGAAATGGATATCAGAAATCTCTTCCTGCCGGTATAAAAAATGATTTTAGCCGCATCACGGAAAGATCTACACAGTAGAGTTTGTGAGTCTGCGACGCCATGCTCTCTATGACTGTGTAAATTTCACGAACTTAGCTTTTTGATTAAATGTCACTTTAACGTCGGTCATATACTTTTATAGTATTGTTATCTTATCGTGCGATCCGTGTGTTTTAGTATAAAGTTTAGCTGTCCCAGTAGCAACGCACTTTTACACCTAACCTATTTACATATATACTCGAACTTGTGTGTACATGATTATATGGAGATGCAGTGGAACTCATACATTGATTTATTGGAGTATGAAAGAAATAGATATCGTAAAATTCTTTCTACCGATATAAAATATTATCTTAGTCGTATCACGAAAAAATCTATACAGTAGAATTTGTGAGCCTGAGACGTCGCGCTCTCCGTGACTGTGTTAATTTCACGAACTTTGCTTTTTGAATTAAATGTCACTTTGACGTCGGTATTTAATTTAACAGTATTATTATCTTATCGTGTGATCCATGTGTTTATAGTATAAAAGATTTAGTTGTCCAGTGGCGCATTTGCGAGCACGCTACCTAGTCTATACTATAAAAGAGCGAATAAATTGAAAATAGTTCATCACTTGATGTTTTGTACCTACCTTAATTCTTGTCCCTTAGATCTACTTTAAAAATATATTCAACAAATCTAAGTCAACCACTATAATCTGATAAGTGGATCCAAACTGTAAACTTGTAAATGTTTACGCGTGTTTCTCTCTTGAACCGCACTCTCCTCTCTTTTTCACCGTCAAATTTCCTACCCGCCCTCCGCCCCACCATCTATGTAGAAAACTTGTATCTCCCGCATCCCCCTCCCTCGGCGCACGAGATGCCTATCTATGAGCTTATTCGCTTGCAGCCGACTTTATTAACAGACGAACAGACCTGTATCTCTGTCCACCGAAACCTTCCGCACCCCGTCTCCCTGACCTTGTGCCGCCGCCGCCTCAAATTCTCTCTCCGCGCTCGCCCACCACGGCAGACGCGGGCAGCAAGAGCCAGGCAGCTGGCAGCCGGCAGCCGGCATTCCAGCCTGACAAGTTGACACGCAAAGGGACAAAGGCAAAACAAGATTGATCACCACAGGTCTCCGATCAATCTAAAAAAAAAAGGTATGTACAAATATGTAATTCCTGTTTGCAAGTTATATTTCAATTATTCGTTGGCTAATTAATGTAATTATTTAGTACTTCTATATCAATTTATAGGTAAATTTTATAATTATTTACTAATTTGTTAAATGGATTTTACCGAATTGCATTGGAAAATTTAGTGCGGGTACCGTTTGGCAAAATCCTGAATCCACCAGTATTCACGAATTTGCAACGCCTGCAGGCCACCGTCATCCACGGGCGGAGGCGCGGAGCCATGAAGGCATAATTCGTGCTGGTGCTGCCGACCCATCGGAGCCATGAAGGCGTCATTCGTGCCGGTGTTGCTGACCGCCGAAGCCATGACGGCACAATTTTTGCCCGCGCTGCCGACCTATATATCGGTGTTGTCTGTGTACAAAGACAAACTGACGAATGCACTCTTCCACTTGATCAGGTAAGGGCCATAGCCGTAGCTGCTTCTTTGTTCCTTCTTATTCCTTATTAGTTGTTCTTACTTCGTCTATAATATAATTGACTACATTAGTTTATTTGTTCTATTTGTTGGTTAAATTTATATTTTGGTTGGCTAATTCGGAAAGCACGGCATTAGAAAAGAAAGCACAAGCGCGGTATCTAAAGAAACTGAGATTTATTATTATCTATTATAATGTGTAATTTTACATGTTAATTTCAATATATTTATTTGGTATGTGTTTTATACACTTCGGTAAATTAACGGTGGCGCCTAGAGATGATTACCTTTGTTATCTATATTACGAATTTCTCCATGCCTTACTTTTAATCCTTCCTT